CAGTCTTCAAATTTTCTTGTTGGAACCGGCTTCGTCATCATGTCGGACCAATTTTGGTCAGTGTGCACCTTGACGAGTTCGAGCTCACCACCTTCCACCATATCCCGGATCCAGTGATACCTCACATCAATATGCTTAGTGCGGGAGTGATAGGTTGAATTCTTCGCAAGATGGATAGCGCTTTGATTGTCACAACCCAGCTCGTACTTGTCTTGATCATGGCCGAGTTCCATGAGGAACTTCTTCATCCACAGCATCTCTTTGCTTGCCTCAGTAGCGGCAATGTACTCAGCCTCAGTTGTAGATAGTGCAACACATTTCTGAAGTCTTGATTGCCAAGAGACAGCTCCTCCGGCAAATCTCATCAAATATCCTGTAGTCGACTTCCTCGAGTCGGCGTCTCCCCCTAAATCAGAATCCGAGTAGCCTTGCAACTCGGCTTTGCCTTCTCCAAATCGGAGACATAAGTCGGTCGTACCTCGAAGGTACTTGAAGATCCACTTCACTGCTTCCCAGTGCTCTTTGCCGGGGTTTGACAAATACCGGCTTACCATTCCAACAGCATACGCCAAGTCGGGTCTAGTGCAAACCATTGCATACATCAAGCTTCCGACGGCGGATTGGTAAGGGACCTTCATCATCTCATCTTTGTCATCATCAGATCTCGGACATTGCTTTTGGTTCAGCTTTATGTGTCCGGCTAGGGGGGTGCTCAATGTTTTGGCTTTGTCCATGCTGAATCTCTTCAGAATCTTCTCAATATATTTCTCTTGACTCAGCCATAGTAGCTTCTTCTGTCTATCTCGGATAATCTTTATTCCGAGAATCTGCTTTGCAGGGTCGAGGTCCTTCATTGCGAAGGACGAGCTCAACGCCTTTTTCAGGGCGTCTATCCTCGATTTATCTTTCCCTACAATAAGCATGTCGTCAACATATAACAACAAAATCAAAAAAATCTCCTGCCTCATACCTCTTCACAAATACGCAGTGGTCGGCTTCAGTCTTCTCAAACTTATGATCAGTCATGAATGATTCAAACTTCTTGTACCACTGCCGAGGTGCTTGCTTCAAGTCATAGAGGCTCTTCCTCAACCGACATACCAAGTCTTCTTGGTCTGGAGCTTGGAATCCTTCTGGTTGCTCCATATATATTTCTTCTTCTAAGTCACCGTGAAGAAATGTCGTCTTCACGTCCATTTGTTCTACCTCGAGGTCCATTGAAGCTGCCATGGCTAACACGATTCGGACCGAGGTCATTTTCACCACAGGAGAAAAAATCTCCTCAAAATCAACTCCTTTCTTCTGATTGCAGCCTTTCACTACAATCCGGGCTTTGTATCTCGGCTTTTGCCCGTTCTCTTCATTCTTAATCTTGTAAACCCATTTATTTTTCAAAACTCTTCTTCCTTTTGGCAACTCGGTCAGCTCATAAGTCTGATTCTCGTGCAGAGACTTCATCTCGTCCTGCATTGCCTTTTTCCATTCTTCTTTCTCTGAGCTCGTTACAGCCTCATCATAACACTGAGGCTCACCGTCTTCAGCAACAACGGTGTACTCATCAGATGGGTACCTTGTAGAGGGTCTTCTTTCTCGAGTTGGATATCTCGGCTGTTCTTCAGCTTGAGAACCCGGTTCATCATTTTCATCCCGGATCTCATCATCAACTCGAACCTCAGTGTCTTGGTCATCTTCAGCTTGTTGCTGATCATCAATTTCTTCGTTTTCTTGATTTTCTCCCCCTGCTTCAGCTCGGACAGGAGGGATGGGTTCTTCACGTCTGACAGTAACCCGGACTTTGGGCTTCGAGATATCATGAATGTTCTCATGCTCATGAAAGATCACATCTCGACTTCTCATAATCTTCTTATTGATTGGATCCCAAAGTCGGAACCCGAACTCACATCTCGGCGAACCAAGATAAATGCATTCTTTAGTCTTTGCATCAAGTTTGGCCCTTTCATCTTTAGTGATATGCACGAAAGCTCGGCATCCAAACACTTTCAGTTGATTGTAGGCCGCTTTCCGACCTGTCCAGACTTCTTCTGGAATTTCTCCTTCAAGTGGCCGTGATGGTGAGAGGTTGATCAAGTCAACAGCAGTTTTAACGACTTCTCCCCAGAATGATTTTGGTAACCCGGCATTGGATATCATGCTTCATACCTTCTCTTCAATTGTTCTGTTCATCCTCTCAGCCAGTCCATTTAACTGTGGAGTCTTGGGGGCCGTCTTCTCCAGTCGGATCCCGGCCGCTCTGCAATATGCATCAAATGGGCCGCAATACTCACCACCATTGTCAGATCGGACCACCTTCAATTTCTTGCCAGTCTCCCTTTCAACCATCGCATGGAATTCTTTAAAGGATTGGAGTACCTGGTCTTTAGTCTTCAACAAATATACCCACACTTTGCGGGAATGATCATCAATAAATGAAACAAAGTACTGAGCTCCTCCAAGAGATTTCTCCGACATGGAGCAAACATCAGTATGGACGAGGTCAAGAATATTCCTTCGTCTTCTTGGTTGATCCGGTCTCACAAAGGAAACCCGGTGCTGCTTTCCAGCTAGGCAATGTGTGCAACTCTCCAACGCTTGGCCTTTCAACCCGGTCAGTAATCCTTTCTTGTTCAGGATCTGGAGCCCTTTCTCGCTCATGTGGCCGAGGCGCTTGTGCCATAGCTCCAAGCTAGGTTCATCTCGGACAGAATTGACTTCTCCGCCATTGATCTTTCCTTGCATCACGTACAAGGAGCCTTCCTTCTTACCTCGGGCCATGACCAAGTTTCCCTTGGCCAGCTTCCATCTAATACTACCGAAGTAGTTCACTAACCCGGCATCATCAAGTTTGCCTACCGAGATTAGGTTCAAACGCATGTCAGGAACATGCCTTACATCTTTCAACACAAGTCGGCATCCGACATCTGTGGTCAGAGTTACATCACTGACACCAACAATCTTGCTGGTCACTTGATTTCCCATCTGCACGACTCCAAAATCACCACCTCGATAAGAGGAGAAAAAACCTTTGTGTGGAGTAACGTGGAATGAGGCACCAGAGTCAACAATCCAGGTGCAGTCATCATATGCAACATTCAAATAATTATCCTCATCAAGGAGGAATATATCGGCATCAGGGTTGGCAGCCACCGCAGTGGTGCTCTTGTCTTCCCTCTTCTTGGGAACAATCTGATCCGGCTTCACAGAGTCGTTCTTCTCATCATTCTGCAGGGTCCAGCAGTCTGGCTTCTTATGGCCTGTCTTTCCACAGTAAAAGCACTTCAACTCATATTTCGGCTTTGACCGACCTCTGCACTTGTCTCGTCTGTCACGACCTCTACCTCGGCTTTTGCTTCTACCGCGGGAGTCGGATTTCCCTTTGTTCTCAGCAACGTTGGCCTCAGACGTACTCGAAATACCTCGTTCTCTTCTCCTGGATTCTTCGCCCAGGAGGCTGTCTGTCACGACATCCATCTTCAATTTTCCATATGGAGTCGAGTTATTCAGGGTCACCACCAGAGTATCCCAGCTTTCTGGCAGCGAGCTCAACAGCAGCAATGCTTGCAATTCTTCATCAATTTTCATATCAGCCTTTGACAACTGATTCACAATACCTTTGAAGGTGTTCAGGTGTTCAATCATGCTCATGCCGTCCTTGTATTCAAGCTTAACAAGTCGGCGAACCAGGTGTTCTTTGTTCCTGGGAGTTTTCTTCTGAATCATGGACTCTAATTTCGTTCACAACTCATACGCGTTCGTGAATTCGGACACGTGCTCAAAGAGGCTTTTATCAATATATTTCCTGATCGTGGCTACCGCCTTCCGACTCAGGATCTCCCACTCCTTATCTGTTTTGCCTGCCGGTCTCTCATCAAGGATAATGGGCTCATGCAGATCTTTGCAGTAGAGATGATCTTCCATCATTGGTCTCCAATAAGTGAAGTTGTCTGCGGTCAACTTAAACATATCTCCATCATGAGTTATGCCACTGGTCTCCATCTCGTCTCCCTCAGAACCCGTCGAACTCGGGCTCTGATACCACTGTTGGGAAATTCGTTCCCTCAAACTCCAATGTCAAGCGGGTCTAAGGGAAGCCCGTGGCGGGGGCCACCACCAATGAGCTAAGGCTACACCAACCGTAGCAAGTGGATCCGACACCATGTCTCAACCCAAAACCTTAAGGCATTGGGTTTATGGGTCATTTCTACTTATATACTCTTCACTTAGCTCATTACCAACCAATATGGGACTCATCACACTTGAATATCTCAACAAGGATTACCCTCCTAACTATCTCTCACTTTCTAGTGGATTAAGTCAGCACAAAAAAAATAAAATAAAAAAATCTGCATAATATTTATGTTTTCAAAGAGCTTTTATGTGTGAGAGAGTGCGTTAAAGAGATATAATATAAAATTATTGAAGATCCATCATTGGATAACTTGAGTTGTTGGGTTGAGATGCGTGTTTATCATGGTATGAGAGTTTTCGTTAGTCGTTGCCTCTCACTTTCTAATAATTTAAGCCGGCATGGGTAAAACTAAAAAAATGTGCCTATACACAATATTCACGTTTCATCTCAAAAAGGACTTTTGTTTATCAGAAAGTTTTCCCAACTCCACAAATTCAGGTAAATTCCAAGCAATGTCATTGTAACATTTTCGTCCGTCTTTCACGGCTTCTCTTTAAAAAGAAAGAATGACATCTAATGATGATAGGAGCACACAGGGTCCACAATATTGTGCGTTTAGACTTAACCTTTCTACAATGGAATTGAGCGATGGTGCACAATGCCGTGTAAACACAACACGCGTGTTATTGTCAAATGTAAATGCTGAACAAATAATTCAGTGCATCAGCCACTCTGTAAAAGTGGGACCTTAATTTGTACACCCCCTTATATATAAAAACTAAGGCTTACATAGTTTTGAGTTCATAGCAAAGCAAATCCAAAATCACTAGCAAATTAATAAATAAAAACATAAGCAGTGAGTGAGAAAGAGAGGATGAAGAAGAAGAAGGTGAGGACTGCCTCTGGTGTTGCTGTGTGTGCAATAGTGGTGATGACACTGCTTGTGATGGAGGTGATTCCGATAACAGAGGCAGTGACATGCAGCCCTGTGGAGTTGAGCCCATGCTTAGGGGCAATCACTTCATCTTCACCACCATCAAGCACATGTTGTCAGAAAGTGAGGGAACAAAGGCCATGCCTTTGTGGTTACCTCAAAAACCCAAGCCTGAGGCAATATGTGAAATCCCCTGGTGCCATAAGGGTCGGTAGTTCTTGTGGGATTCCCTTCCCTACTTGTTAATTTCACTTCTTATGTTATATATTATTTATATTGGAATAATATTTCTCATATCGTATGAGATAAATTTTATCTCCTATACATACATAAAAGTGTGTGAAATCATGTGAAGAGAAGAAAGAAAGAAAAATATGAATCACACACATTTTTATGTATATATCTATAGGAAATAACATTACCTCCATTATAATTATGTTATAGCTAGGAATAATGATTATCAATACCTAATAAGAAAATGATGTTGTTCAAGAGTGGCATTAGCTTGAACAAGTTTGAATGAGATGTTGAAGAAATAAAATGAGTAAATTAATTAGCAGTTTATGAGTTCTTGCATTTAAATTGAGCTTCATGATTTTATCTTTGCAAACAATTGCGTGAGTCGTACGTACGTGATGAATGAGTCAACAATTCATTGGTTCGTCAAGCCATACAATTCTTCTAGGTGGTGTTTGGTTTACGACTTTTCAAAATTTTCCTATGCAAATGAAGTAAGGTTTCCAGAAAGTTAATGTTTGGTTCAGCAGATTAACACAAAATCACCGTCTATCCATTTGCATTGCTTTTTCAACTTTGTCTTGGAAAGATAAGTTTCTGCACTGTTTAGAAAGACTTTTTGTAAGTTATTTTTTTTGTAAACCGAGGTAAACCACTGTTTACAATCAGCCAACACACATGTTTCTTCTATGTCCGTTGGGAAATGATTAGGGGTAAAGGATAGCAAGGCTGATTCAGCCTTTTTTTAAAGTCAAGGTTATTTTAGTAAAAGTATATTTTTTCTTATCTATATTTTATCAAAAGCCAAACATAGACTTTACAAAAGTTACCTAATTTTCCCGATAAAATTTTTTCTTACCAAATTACTTTTTTTACATTTTCTTATCAAACTCACTTCCCAACCATTTCCCTAATAATCTCATTTTCCTATTATTCATACAAATTTCTCTTCAACCAAACATCCCATAGCGTTCAATATATTCAAAATTTCAAAGCATTGAGTGCGGCGTTGATAATGATAACGAGGAGGAGGATGTGTGGGGGAGAAAAAATTCTTTTAAATTTTATTAATACCAATTAATTTTTATTTAAAAATATTAATGAATAATTTAAATGAAAAATGAAAAATTCTAGTTTTATAGTTTTCTAGTACTGTAAATTCATTTTTTTTAATTTCTTAACCGATTCATTGATTATTTAATTAATTCCGTTGAAATCCAACAGAATCACAAAGGACGATAACAGTTGATATGATAAACTTTTTTTATACAAAATTGGGATAGGTTGATAAATTACTATTTCGCATTTATTTTTTGGTTTGGTTCGGGAGGGGTGGCTCTGCTCATTTATGTTGTAACGCGGAATATAATTATGTCCTTTATATTTCAGCAATAAATATTGGGAAATATAATGTTGCAAGATGTATGATACATATAGAGACAAAATTTGTGGAAAGAGAGATGGACAGTGGATTGTAAATAATTGTTGTGTTCGATTCCTAATATATTAAAAAAAAAAAAGTATTTGTGGAAGGGATTTTTTTTTATTTTTTTATTTTACAACATGGGGAAAACAAACCCCATAAATATTATTGGTCTAACAAGACAAAAAAAAAACATTTGCTTTCATATTAATATTATGAAACAAATGTTTCATATTTATTTGTATCATGGAGTGATGTAGCAATTAGGATTTTATTACTATCCCCTTTATCTTGTTTGTCATTGGACTAGTTTATTTTTATTTTAGTTGTTTAAATTTTTTCATTAGGAGTTATCTTGTGAGTGTTATTAGTTTTAAATTCAAATTAGATTTCCTTATATTTGTTTAACTTGTAATTCTATAAATTGTTAGCTCATTGAGCACATAAAACAAAAGAAGACAATAATTCACATGTCCCTCCTAAAGTCTTAATATTTCACTCCAAAATCCTCTCTATCTCTAATTTCTCTTTCTCTCTAATTTTGTTTATAACATTGGTGAATAATTCAAGTCTCTCCCTAATGTCTCAATATCCTTCCCAATCCTCTCTCCCCGATCTTTCTATCGCCAATTTCTCTTTATCTTTTAATTTTATTTCCTTCAAGTGACTTTATAATTATATCCCATGTTGGTATATAACTTAACATGTTTCAATTGCATAAGTATTTATATATCATATTTTGTAAGATTTATACTTTTAATTTTTTTTCATAATATGAGTGTAGTATTTTATTTAAAAATACAAAAATACAATATACAAAAGTAACGTTTCTCAATGAAAATTGAGAGATGTTACAAGATCAATTTGTTTACTTATCTTATATATAAAGACATCTAAGTTCTTTCCAAGAGTATTTAGCTTTGTGTCATTTTTAATATTATTATAGAGACATGGTAGTGCTGCGTGGAAAGATACTTGAGATTTTTTATCTGTGTAATGATTATATTAGAATTATATTGTAATTAGGGTTTCCTTATTTCATTCGGCTTTTGTATTAGGTTTGATTATATTAGGTTTGGGCTTAGCCCATTAGTTTGTCTATATATTGTACATCTCTCATCAGATTAATACACACAAATTATTTCAATGTTCCTCTCTTTTCTTGTTATTTAACATGGTATCAGAGCCTAAGGAACTTTGAAATTATTTTTTTTCCGGTGAACCCACTGTTCATCGTCTTTTAAATTTTTTCCGGAACTATCTCGCTGTCAGTTTCCGGTACGCTTCTCTTCCGCATTCACATTCAGGCTGCTGTCTTCGTCAACCACCTCCGTCCGGTGGAGTTTTACGGCGGTCACAACCGCACCGGCCACACCTCCATCAGACTCCTCACGCGCCCACACGCGCGCGTGCAAGCTCCGGTCATCTCCTCCACAAGGCGGCGCGTGGAGCCTCCTTTCACATTCGGGTGATGCACTTTCACATTCGGGATGGAGACAAGCTATGATTGATGAAATGAGTGCTCTTCATCATAATGGCACATGGGATCTGGTGCCTCTTCCTTCTGGAAAATCTGTGGTTGGTTGCCGATGGATTTATGCTGTTAAGGTTGGACATGATGGTCAAGTGGATCATCTTAAAGCTCGCTTGGTGGCGAAGGGTTTCACTCAAGTATTTGGCTTGAATTTTATTGATACTTTTTCTCCTGTGGCGAAGATGTCCACTGTTCGCCTTTTTATTGTCATGGCTGCTATTCGCCATTGGCCTCTCTACCAACTGGATATCAAGAATGCTTTTCTTAATGGTGCTCTTGAGGAAGAAATTTATATGGAGCAACCTCCTGGATTTGTTGCTCAGGGGGAGTCAGGTCTTGTTTGTTGTCTTCGTAAGTCTCTCTATAGCCTCAAACAATCTCCAAGAACTTGGTTTGGTAAATTTAGCAGTGTTGTTCAACAATTTGGCATGACTCGGAGTGCAGCTGATCATTCTTTCTTTTATCATCATTCTGCTTCTGGATCTATTTATCTGGTGGTATATGTGGATGAAATTATCATCACAAGCAGTGATCGGCATGGGATCACTCAATCGAAACAACATTTATGTCATCATTTTCAGACTAAGGATCTTGGGAAACTTCGATACTTCTTGGGAATCGAGGTGGCCCAATCTAAAGCTGGTGTTGTGATATTTCAGAGGAAATATGCTCTGGATATTCTTGAAGAAACTGCTCTGTTGAATCCAAAGTCTGTTGATACTCCTATGGATCCAAGTATCAAGCTTCTACCAAATCAAGGGGAGCCCTTTTCAGATCCTGAGCAGTATAGAAGATTGGTTGGAAAATTAAACTACCTCACAGTCACTCGGCCTGATATTTCCTTTGCAGTTAGTGTTGTTAGTCAATTTCTCAATTCTTCATGTCAAGAACATTGGAATGCAGTCATTCGTATTCTTAAGTATATCAAGGCATCTCCAGGAAAAGGCCTTGAATATGAAGATAAAGGTCATGATAAAGTTGTTGGGTACTGTGATGCTGATTGAGCTGGTTGTCCAGCTAATAGGAGATCTACTTCTGGGTATTGTGTCTTTGTTGGAGGCAACTTGATTTCCTGGAAAAGTAAGAAACAAAGCGTAGTTGCCAGATCAAGTGCTGAAGCAGAATACCGCTCCATGGCGACTACTACTTGCGAGCTCATCTGGCTTAAACAGCTTTTCAAAGAGCTTAAGTTTGGAGACACTGGACATGCAACTCTCATTTGTGATAATCAAGCAGCTCTACACATTTCATCAAATCCAGTGTTTCATGAAAGAACCAAGCATATAGAAATAGATTGTCACTTTGTTCGAGAAAAGGTTCTTGCTGGTGAAATTAAAACTAGCTTTGTACCCTCTAATGAGCAATTAGCATATGTGTTTACAAAATCTTTGATGGGTCCTCGAATAGAGTTTATATGTAACAAGCTTGATGCATATTACCTATACGCTCCAGCTTGAGGGGGAGTATTAGAATTATATTGTAATTAGGATTTCCTTATTTCATTAGGCTTTTGTATTAGGTCTGATTATATTAGGTTTGGGCTTAGCCCATTAGTTTGTCTATATATTGTACATCTCTCATCAGATTAATACACACAGATTATTTCAATGTTCCTATCTTTTCTTGTTATTTAACATTAGTAAGATTTTTTTTTTCATAATGCCTATATATACATAGTCTTCTGGCGAAGGAAAAGAAAGAAATAGAGAAGAGAGAAAAGAAAGAAGAAAAGAGAACAGGGAGAGAGGAAAGAAATAAGAGTGAGAGAGAGAGAACGCATAAGAGAAAAGAAAGAAACCAAAGAAAGGAAGTAAATTAGTGAGGAACAGGCGAAAAAAGAAAAGAGAAAGGAAAGGAGAAAGAAATAGGAAGCTAATATTGAGAGAGAGAAATTCATTCTCTTGATTCTCTTCTTTTACTTTTAAAGTTTATTTTTTTTAAGTTATTTTTAAAAAGCTGTGAAGGTGCTGTTACTTTGTCCAAATATTTTCTTCTGAATCTTTTCTATTCTTGTGATTTATCTGTTATCTTTGAATTTGAGGATTTGATAAA